AGGTCACTATTACCTTGGCACCTGAACCAGATAAAGACATTTAAAAAAAAAAAAGGAAGAAAAAACTACAGACCAGTTTCCCTCATTAACACAGATGATGCAAAAATCCACAGCAAAATATTAGCAAATTGAACCCAATAATGTGTAAAAAGAATAAATATTTGCAGTCACATATCCAACAATAAACATATCCAAAATATATTTAAAAACTCTAAATGCAACAGTAAGAAAACAATCCAATAAAATGGTGGGCAAAAGACTTGAACAGATAGTTCAGAGGGTATACTAATGGCAAATACGCATAAGAAAAGATGTTCAACATCATTAGTCGTTAGAAAAATGCAAATTAAAATCACAATGAGATACAACTTTTACCTGTAAAAATATCTAAAAATCTGAAAGTCTAAACATATCAAGTGTTGGCAAAGATATGGAGAAACTGGAATTCTCATACACTGTTGGTGGTAATATAAAATATTACAACCAATTAGGAAAACAGTTTGACAGTTGCTTTAAAAGTTAGACATATACCTACATATGATTTAGCCATTCCACTCAACGTGTTTATCCAAGAGAAAAGAAAGTGTTTGCCCACATCAAAATTTGTACATCAATGTTCATAGCAGTTTTACTTGCAATAACCAAAAACTGGAAACAGCCCAAATGTCCATGAATGGGGGAATGGATGAACAACTATAAATTTGTGGATAGTATATTATTTGGTAATGAAAAGGAATGAATTATCTCAAAATCATTATGCTGAATGTAGTAAGAGAGACATAACACATCCATACCTTATCATTACGTGTATATAAAATTCTAGAAAATGCAAGCAAATATACACTGACAGAACACAGATTGGTGGTTGCCTGGAAATTGGGAGGGTCTGGGTGTGGGTGGGAAGGATTTCAAAGTGGCATGAGAAAACTTTTGGGGGATAGATCTGTTCATTATCTTGATTGCAGTGGTGCTTTCAAGCATATACTTTTATCAAATTGTGTATTTTAAATATGTGCACTTCATTTTATGCCAATTATATCTCAACAAAGCTATTTAAAAATTAACTGTTGGCCAGGCGCGGTGGCTTACGCCTGTAATCCTAGCACTCTGGGAGGGCGAGGAGGGCTCGATTGCTCGAACTCAGGAGTTTGAAACCAGCCTGAGCAAGAGCGAGACCCCTTCTCTACTATAAATAGAAAGAAATTAATTGGCCAACTAATACATATAGAAAAAATTAGCTGGGCATGGTGGCACATGCCTGTAGTCCCAGCTACTTGGGAGGCTGAGGCAGCAGGATTGCTTGAGCCTAGGAGTTTGAGGTTGCTGTGAGCTAGGCTGATGCCATGGCACTCACTCTAGCCTGGGCAACAAAGTGAGACTGTCTCAAAAAAAAAAAAAAAAAAATTAACTGTGTATTTCTCTGTTGCCCTAACAATTTGCACTGGCTCAGCACCTACAGATGGTGCATCTTTCAGGATATTTCACAAATTTCAATTTTTAAAATTATGCCCATCTTTGGAGTCTCGTCTAAAATGCCTTCTCCTCTAAAACATCTCCTGATAATTTCAGCCAGAAGTGACTCACCTCTGTATTACAAACACCTTTTGTGTACTGATTATATGTAACTAAAAAATACTGCCTTGAATTGTAAATAATTGTGTATCATTTCCTTTAATAGATTATACACTCCTAGAAGGCCAGGACCTTATCTTGTACAGTTTGAAATCTCCATTATAAACCAGTGCCTAATAGATGTCCCTAATTTAAAAAACAAACAAACTCATAAATATAGCTAACATTTATTGAACGCTTACTTTGTGCCAGGCGTTATGGGGAATGCTTTGAGTGCTAGCAAATGTAATTTCACAGAAACCTTATGTCTGAAGTAAGTATAATCATTCCCATTTACCTTTGAGAAAACTGTGGCTTCTTCTATTTTCTGGAAGAGATTAAGTAACTTGCCCAAGATCATGCAAATAACAGTTAGCAACACCCAGAACTTGACCCCAGGGCTGCTGTTAACCACTGCTAAGGGATTAGGGGTCCCAGACCAGATCAGCTACATAGTGACAGAGCCCCAGATAGAAGTCATGACTCTATTTCCACAGACTTCTCCTTTGGGCCTTTTTTTTTGGGGGGGGGAGGGTCAACTGGCCAAACTCTCACCCAGACATGTTCTCCTCTCAAGGTAATGAAAAATTCCATGACTCAAGCTTCAGAATCTCTTTCCACGTCTCCAAAATGTCCTTAACAGGCATAAGAATCCTAATCCCTGCCTGGGATATTCAAATTGTGCCTGTTTGCTTCCCTGCTCCCTTCCCTCTTCCATCATATTCATCTTCACGTCCTCCTCTCATCTTTGCTGAGGCCCTCTCAGTTTTCTTTCCATTCAGTTCTTGTTCCTAAAAGAAACTCTAATTTTAGGAACTATTGATTATTTAAGGAAAAATAACTCATGTTGTAATTATTTTGTTCTTTCTTCTCCTTTAAGACACACATGTAGGACATTTTGATGTATATTAACTTTCAGATTTAGGAAAACTGAGGCATTTAAGAGCTTTTAAATATTATCTAGTCCCAACTCCTACCCAAAATAGGAGCCAACTGAAGAACATTATTTTAAAAAAAGAAATGAAACAAAACTTGTGTACTCACATTATTTCTAGCCCTCTGGTATGGCTGCCATGACCCTGAATATATATAATTTTTCAGTCCCAGGCAGCCTACAAGGTGACTCATCTGAAGGTGGATTTACTGAAGCTCAAGTTTCAGAGACCTCCATTTGCATGGCTCTTTCCAAGACTCAGTGTCAAACTTAGAATTCATAATTGTGTATTCTTTGTTCTTAAATAAAACCCACCAAATTGAATAATCTACCATCCTCTTAATTCATCCTAGTTTTAGAAAAAAATGATGTAACTTCTACTTAGTAGTAGCTCCATCTGTCTTCTAGAGCTCTATAGCAGATGTCTAATCTGATTCAAACATTTTAAGACAATCAGCAGTCCACAAAAGTTCTTTACTATTATCTCATGACACTTGTTCTCCAGATAATAGCATCTAGTAAGAACTCTTTATGTGGTAAACATTGTGGTAATCATGAATTATTTAATTAATCTGCACAGCTGCCTACGAGGGAAGAGCTAGGATTCCCACTTTACAAATGAGGAAACTGTCAGTGGAAGAGGTTATAGAACATGTCCAAGGTCATACAGCTCAAATATTACATGGATTATTACAAAACTCACACATTCAGCAGCTCTGTCATCTTAATTTTTTTTTCTGGACACACTCCTCCATGTATATGTACTGTTTCAGAAATGTGATTTCCATGTAAACTTTTTGAAAGGATGTGTTATTACCCATCAGAAATTATAATTGTACCTTCGACCCAGAAATTCTGCTTTTTGAATCTACCCTACAAATGTCCATGTGTAAGGGACTGATTAAGGAAGTTATGGAACATCTCTAAATTTTAATGTCCGAGACTTAGAAATGAAAAGCAAGTTGCAAAAGTAATTTCTTTTATGTAAGAAAATTATATGTCTATGAAATATTTGTATTTGGAAGAAAACATTTCAAACCGCTCATATCAGTGAACCATGGGGAATTGGTAGAGGGTGGAAAGATGGAGGAAGTTCTACTATTTATTTCATACAATTTTTGTACTATTTGTTTTTTTACAGCAAGTACATGTTGCATTTGTAATAAATGGTAGCCTTTATTCCTGGCTGTGTTCTCACCAGCTCAGAGAACAATACATTATCAACAACTAAACATCACATCTATTAATGCAGTTTAAGTTTTGCATTTGATTTTTTTGTCCGCCTACAGTCGCTTCTACTGAGTTTGCCATCAGTAAGACATCTAGGTCTTTTTCACAGAACCAAAAAGTAGTGTGGGTAAAATAACAAAAGATAAAATTCAATCCAATTATTGTTACTTATTGTTTAGAATGAACTTAAAACAGGAAGAAATCCTTGGCATTTTCAACACTCATTCCTGCACCAACCCACATTCTCTTTCTTATTGATGATGTTTACAGTTTTCTTGAGTTGCCACAAGGTGCCCAGGCCCTTAAAAAAAGTGAAAAAGTACAGGTGGGTGGTTTGCAGATGCAGCTAATCAACAATTCTTGGGGGTATTTCATTTGTCTTTTATAAATGTACATTTATTAATGTAATACTTTTCCCTAACTCTACAATCAGTGTGAACAGATTCTTGTGATTCCTTTCAGAATTTTCCTATGCATATTCATAAATAAGTATTCTTTAAAAAAAACTTAAATAGGATTAAACTATATGAACTATCATGCAACTTCTTTTTTATTTTATTTTTTTTAGAGACAGGGTCTTGCTCTTTTGCCCAGGTTGGAGTATAGTGCAGAGATTATAGCTCACTGCAACCTCAAACTGCTGGGCTCAGGCGAACCTCCCAGCTTAGCCTCCTGAGTAGCTAGGACTACACCCCCAGCTAATTTTTAAATATTTTTTGTAGAGATGGGGTCTTGCTATGTTACCCAAGCTGGTCTCAAACTCCTGAGCTCAAGTGATCCTTCTGCCTTGGCCTCTCAAAGTGCTGGGATTACAGGAGTGAGCCGCTGTGCCTAACCCAACTTCCTTTTTTAATGTAACACTGTAACTTGGATATGTTTATATCACTGCATGCAGATCATTTTTCCTAAAGACAGCATTGTCTCCACAATGTTGACTGAACTTCTTGACCATTGACCTTTTTGTGCATGTGGGAGGGGTAGGAAAGAAAGGGGAAGAATGTGGATCCTCTTGAAAAAATTACAGCAAGCAAGGAATATGTGCTCAAAAATTATGTTCCAAGGACTCCACCAACTGGAGAGCCATTTAGATTAAGAAGACTCTTCATTTAGGGTGTAGGTGTTCTTTCTGCAGGCTGCTTTTGCATCTGGTGGTGGCAGCCCTGTCCCAGGTGTTCCAGACGGTCTCCTCTCATTTGCTCAGTGCACCCAGGTTCTAGTCCCATGTCCCTGGTTCCTCCATTCCTTGGTTTTTCACTCCATCTCTGAATATCTATGTCAATCTTTCCCTTGTTTTCCTGCAGTACCTTTCGACTGCCTCCCTCCCACCTGACTCTACATTCCTTATTGTCCATTTTGGCAAACTAGAATCTCCAGAGAAGCCCCCCTCACCCTGCCAGACATGCCCTTCAGGACCCGCTCAAGCAGGTGAGCCCCAGAAGAGCACCCTCACACTCCTGTGGGGATTGGGAGGTTGGACGAAGTGCAGGGTTGAATTTACGCCACAGTCATCAACATGCATTCGTGCCAGCTGTGTTAGTCAGGCGACGTCTGGGATAAACTTGGTAGATTTGAGCTTGGGTTCTGGGAAGGGAGATTTAATTTGGACTTTTGGAAAATGGAAAGGCTCGTGTGGGTGGGATGTAGGATGTTAGGAGATAACGAACAAAACACAGTGCTAGAAGAGAAGGGGGAAGTGAGAGAGGCAGGCAAAGACTTTTTCATACTTGGTAACTGTGACTGGAACTCCTGTGGTGGCTGGAGTAGTTCCTTAAGGACATCTTTGATGCCACTGGTATATGTATGATTTATTGGAGTACCAATGTCTACATGTTGGATGTAAGGACTAGTATGGGATTGCTAATAATGATATCTCCCACATGTTGAGGGCATGATATTTGCCTAGCATGTGGTAAGTGCTGCACTAACATGAGATCTCATTATCCCCAGAATTTAGAACAGTGCCTGGAACCCAGTTGTCCATTAAAAAAATCATTGTGAAATCAGAAATAAGTTAGCCCACTAGTAGATGTTACAGTTAGGATTCAAACAGATCTGATTTCAAACTTTTTAGCCAGGGTGTTATACAGCGTCTCTCAAAGGCAGTAATCTCAGTCTATCTCATTTTAGCTGGTTGATTCTGAGCCAAGCTTGTCAAATGTCCTGTGATGCAACTCTTGTATTTATTCTAATGATTCTTCCCAAGAGACCATAAGGAAACCCAAGGCAAAAGAATTTGCCAAACACGAGCTTGGGGGAAATTAGTTTCAACTCTTGTGTTTGAATGATCCAACTTTCTAGGCCACTCCAATTTAGGAATATTCCTATATAAAAAGGGGGTAATTTCTAGAATTTTCTCATAATCAGTTCTGGTTCACCCAAGCAACCTAGACAGGGTAGGTCAAAAAGTGGTGATAAAGTGATATATATCGATATCATTTATTCACTTCTTTATTCATGAAATACTTTTTGAACATATTCTAAGAACCATGCTGGGTGCTGGTGATACCAAAAAGAGAGCACATTGTTCTCACCTTCAGTGAGCTCACAGGCTAATGAGGAAAGAATCACACAAATAAAGAGCTCCAGTACAATAATTTAATAGCTGTATTACAAGTACAAGCTAATGCAAGGTTGAACAAGAAGATAGGACCCAGGTCTAACTAGATGAGACAAGGTTTACAGAGGAGGTGGGGTTTGAGCCGAAATATGAAAGATGAGCAGGTGAGTAAGCTGGGGTCCGTAATTAGGAAGAAGGAACAACACGTGCAAAAGCATGGAGCCCTGTTAGAGCCCTGAGCCTGGAAGTTGAATGTGAGGGGCACATTGGGGCATGGCAGGAAATAGGACTGGACACATGGGCTGGTGCAAACCGCACTGGACAGTGAAAATTTGTCCTGTAGGTCAGGAGGAGCTACTGAAGAATTTACTCAGGTACACGTCATTGGATTATCATGTGAGAAAGATCATTCCAGCAGCAAAGGGTAAGGAAGGAGCCAGGACAGTGACAAGTGGGATGGAGCAAAGGAAATGGTTACAAGAGACATTAGGAAGATGGAAGAAGAGGATATTTTAATTGATTAGATACAGGCATAGGAAGGTGGAGAAAGGAGTCTAGGCTTCCTCCTAGGTTCCTGACTGGGCCAGTGGGTGGACGTCCCATTCCTTGAGATGACAGAGGAAAAGGAACAGTCATGGGGTATGCAGAGGGGGTGGGGAAGATGGTGGATTTAGTTTGGGGACATGCTTAATAGTTAGACCCAACTTGTAGATCTGGGACAAGGAGCATGTTCTGGTTGGAGGGGAGACTTGGGGAGCATCAGCCCTGGCATAGGTGAGATTGCTCATTGAGAATGTGCTACTCAGATGTGTTTATATAGATGAGGCTCTAGGCTCAGGACAAAGCATATTGTAGAACACCCTTTCATTAGTGGAGATGAAAAATAGTTATTATTTGTTCAAATTGTAATCAGGATATATGGATCCACTGCATATACCAAAAGGCTAGTGGTTTTTCTTTGGCAGAAAGCTGGAAATTTTATTATGATTCTATTTTAATCTTCTTTGTCTTTATTTTGCATGTGGTATTGAGTAATATGCGTTCATTACCCTTATTGTCTGAATGTTCATAGAAATACACTTGCTTGCTGGAAAATTGTAAAAACTGTTAGAAATTTTTATTTCATTTATCCAAGAGAAATCTTCAAACACATCTTTCAAAGATTGATTACACTATGTGTCTCTTTCCCAATCCCTCATAATAGACTCTGAGAATCTAAACAGAAAAAAGCCAGGCGGTGGAGGAAGTGTAGGAAGATCGCCACTGAAGGACTGTTAAAGTTCTCTTCTGCAAGACTTGGCAATGATAAAAGGATACAATGATGAGTTTTGTTGCTGTCTCTTAATCACAGAAAGCAAGCCAAGTTCCAAATCCCTGCCCCTCACTGCTGTAATTTAGTCCTTAAGGCAACTTGGCTGAAAATAAGACAAGTGCTATGAGACAGAAGGCAAAGACAATACAATTTTCTCACTTAATAGAGTTCAAGAACCAGAGGATTCTCTTCCAAGTAGGGACAGGGTACATTTGCACCTGAAATTTTATCTTAAACACCAGTTTAAGCTTGTGTCAATTGCCTTCAGTCTAAAGTTCCATAGCAGCAGAGGGACCCATTTTGTCTCCTTCTACTCTTCCCCAACATAAGAAATAAAGAAGATATGACTATTAGAGAGTATTAGAGATATAGGAATCTTAGTGATCATGCCCAGCCCTTTCATTTTAAAGATAAGGCTACTGAAGTTAAGAGACTAAGGGATCCGCCCCAGTAATAATCATCACTACTCTCTGGAAGGCAGAGTGCTTGGTAGGAAAGAACTGGCATTAGAGCCAGGTTGACCCAGGTTCTTGTCCTGCTAGTTATAAGACCTCAGGCAGATTTCCTTAACTCTCCGAGCTTGATTTCCATACATGTAGAAAATGAAAAATCTGGGTTAGAAAATCTCTAATGTCACTCCAAGTTCTAGCATCTGCAAGTGTCTTTTTATCTGTTTTGTTTTGTTTTAAGAACAGGGCCAGTGTTACCCGATCTGTAGCCCAGGACATTTTTAACCACACTTTACTCCCCCTCACACAAGTCCTTGTTTGTTTGGCTGAACCCGTGCTACTTCAGAGGCTGCTGTCTGCAGACCTGCATCCTCACCTGGGAGCTATTACACAACAGAGCCTTAACAAGACGACCACTGCCTTGTGTGCACGTTAAAGTTTGGGTAGCACTGTGTTTAAACCATCTATGCTATAGTTTTGTTTTTTTTTTTTTGAGACAGAGTCTTGCTTTGTTGCCCAGGCTAGAGTGAGTGCCGTGGCATCAGCCTAGCTCACAACAACCTCAAACTCCTAGGCTCAAGCAATCCTACTGCCTCAGCCTCCCAAGTAGCTGGGACTACAGGCATGTGCCACCATGCCTGGCTAATTTTTTCTATATGTATTAGTTGGCCAATTAATTTCTTTATATTTATAGTAGAGATGGGGTCTCACTCTTGCTAAGGCTGGTTTCAAACTCCTGACCTTGAGCAATTCGCCCGCCTCGGCCTCCCAGAGCGCTAGGATTACAGGCATGAGCCACCTCGCCCGGCCTATGCTATAGTATTGATCATAAAATCACTAATTAGATTAACAAGTTATATATGTTTAAACTTTAAAAAGTAAAAATTGGAGGCATATATAAACAAACTACTTACTGGAAACATCAAATTCACATCTCACATCAACAGGCTTGAGAATTTGGATTCAAGGCCGAGTATCATCATTTACTACCTATGTGATGCCAGACAAATTATTCTCCAAGTTTCAGCTGTCCCACCTGTCCAATGTGAATAATTCTTGCCTTGCATACGTTACCATGGGTATTATGAAGACCAAATGAAATAACATATGCAAAATAGCTTTGTAAATGTTTAATATCATACAGAAGCAACTTTAAGAAAGGGAATAGTCCTGACTTTACTGATAATAGAACAGAGTACCTTTGAGAAGTTGATGGGATGGATTTTGCTTAGAGAGAGAGGTCATTGCCGACATAGTGAGGTTCAGGAGATAATGGGAAGTCCTCTTCCATTCTCCTCCGTTCATTTGCTCATCTGAGCAATGTCAAACTTTTCTAATGAGACCCTGGGATTGAAAAAAGTTCAATAAAAACAAGTTAAAAGACTGGCTATTGCCATATATTAGTTTCAGAGAAAAAAAAAACTGGATGAAATATTTGAAAACATCTTCATAAATGCGTTGAAGAGATGACAATAAAGTAAGAAACACCCAGAAGCCAAAAACTAAGTGAAAGTAGAAGCTATGAGAAATAATACAAACATCTAAAGCCAAATTTCAACTTTAGGACATTTGCTTTAAAAAAGAAAAATAAAAGGATAAATGTGGGATTTAATGGGAATTCAGAGTGTAAAGCACAGAAGATGAAAGCTAGGGCATACTTAATAGGGAAATTATAGTATAAGACTCTTTCTCTAAAAGCTAAAACCTCAAAGAACTATACAATCAGTGACTGGTGAATGATAATGACTGGTTGAAGATTAAGAAAAATGCACTGTCTTAAATCTTGGTGCTAAATGAAAGGGAAAAAATTCTTCCCCAAGAATGACTAAATATAAACTGGCCCTTATATTTATTTGTACTTGCAGTCAAAAATCACACTTCCAAAAGTCTCAAGCCAAGTGTTTAGTTTAAAATGGTCATCAGAAATATTAGTGAACTCAAGTTCACTTAGCAAGAAAAAATTATTAAAAATTAAAAAGAGAGAGAGAAAGAGAACCATAAAAATAAAAACAAAACATCAGTGAGTGGTGGGACATCAAATAGCCTAACATACAAGTAACTGGAATCTCTGGAGAAGAGATAGGGGAGAGCACAGAAAAAAACATTT